GATTTCCTCATCTTTAATCTCTACTTACATATAGTCACAGCTTCTATCAAACATATTGGAATACTCCGTTTATATGATCTTGTTCTATTACATATTCTTGTTAATTTTACTCTTTATATTAGTGAAATAAATAAAGGGAGTCGGTGGAAGGATGGTCTAAACCGTTGGTTTTCGACCGTTACGACCCGGGTTAAATTCCCGCATTGGGCACTTATTTCTTATATAAAAAAAAATGCTCCAATGGCCCTCGATTCTTGCAAAAGTCCAACCCCACCAGCGAGTGCAAGTAACCAAACGGGGCTCTAGCATACTTGTAAGTGCAAAAATCGAACTGCTTTTCACATGTGTAGACATGTGGTGCACTTACAGTAAAAGCAGTAGACAACCTCTACCTACCATGATTATCATGACCTGTACCACGTGTATTAGTAATAAGCAAAAAAAAAATGAAATGAGATTTTTAGATCAAACTTGTCGTTTGTCACTCCTTATTCTCTATCTGACTCTATGTTAGAGCGACAAAATGCTTAAACTCTTTATGCACAAAATCAATATTGAACCATAATGGAAAATTCTATGGATGTATTTGAATTTTACTTCATGTTTGCCTATCTATACCTTCAAATAAAGCAAAAAAAAAAAAGAAAATATCGTCAAACTATTCCAATATATTATGAAAACCGGATTCACTTGGATACGAATTGATAATCTGGTGATTTAAATTTTCGAACTGGAAACTTAGGAAAGTTCCTTAATCTATCTGAGATACCTTCTTTGATGTCAACCATGCGAAACTCTAAGACTTCGATGGTTTCAGAATATTTCTTTGACGACTATTTCCAAGCTATAAATGGCAGAGCTGTAAATGATGAACATGTAAATTTTACTTTTTTTTTATAATATTGGTTCCCCTATTGTAGATTTACGGATTGTATTATATATATGTCGTAAACCCGGGTGAGACAACAAGTGAATTGAAAGCAGTCGGGGTTGAGTGGCAAGGCGTGCAGAGTGGGAAGTCCGCACGGGACAGTAAGGACAAAGTTTGGGATCAAAAGACGCTCTCCTAGTACGTCTCACGTGGCACCAGGACCAGGGGAAAGTTGAGGATTAACTGAGGAAATCTCGGCGTCCTGCATGAAGCCGCGGAGGCAGGGAGGAACCAAAACGGCGGCCACGAGGGCCGCCGTGAGACCTAGCACTGAGCGGCCTGTCCGAAAATATCCACTGTAACCTAACTAACTGTCAACATCCGGACCCACGCCCCTTTTTGTCCCTCCCTGGATCCCCCGGGTGTCCAGTGGCAAGCTGGTGTCACTTTGAGACGACTAGAAAAGACGTCATACTTTATTACTTACATATCACATTGTTTTAATTACGATATATATATATATATATATTATACTAGCGGACGTACCCGGCTTCGCCCGAGGTTTTACCCGAGTAAAGGTTTGTCTAACGAACATTTGCCCGTGTTTTACCCGAGTAAAGGTTTGTCTAACGAATCTCTCGATAAAGTGAACATTTTTTCCCGGTCCCTTGAAAAATACTCGATAAGTTGAATAAATTCAATATTAATCGGTACCCGAGTAAAGGTCTGTCTAACGAACATTTGTTAAAACAATTCTCTATAGACTTATAAAAAGAAATATATATATTTTGATAATTTGAAACTGATAAAGTGATCATTTTTTCCCGGTCCCTGTGTGCCGTGTCATTCTGAATTTTGTCTTTCCTAATTTTCTACATTACAAAATCATCGTTTTATCTAGTGAACATTTTTTCCCGGTCCCTTGAAAAATACTCGATAAGGTTGAATAAATTCATGGTCGTTTATGGAAGATGGACGAAGTTCCCGGAGGTCATCTTGGGCAAGCTCCCGCGAGGCTTTTTTTCTTGTCTACTTGGCATAGCTGTGTCACCAACTCTGCCCTGATTGGTCGGTGGGTACTTTGACTGTCGGCCGGCGGCCGGGCGAATCCATTCTCGCACGGGGTCTGCCCCACTCCAAACTTTTGGCAAAGCACTTTCTAATATTAAAGATTATTGTCTTAAATAATCTTTAAGAACAAAAAGTATAATAATTGAACGATAGGAAATTATAGTAAATAATTATACTAAACTAAATGATGTAAAAATAATTATACATGAAATTTGAAATAAGTTTTAGAAAAGTTATCGTTAAGTCCACGGGAAAAGATGTAGCCAAAACAAATAGGTTTTTAACAGTGACACGTGAGCACCCGCCTCGAGACGCGCTCCTCTCTCCTAACATTACTCCCCCTCTTGAAAAAGCCTATCTCCGTCTCAAGTTAAAGCTACAAATCTGCAAATAACTCTAAGGATATTAAAGATATTCAAGATATTATTTTTCGTAAACCTTTCCGGAGATACACCTAATAATATCCCAATATTTCACGGCGATTGGATGTATGGTTTTCGAATCCATAGAGGACACACAGACACACACACAGACACACACACAGACATTCAATTTTATATATATATAGATTATCTTTATCTTTATATTTATTATTATTATATTATCTTTATATATTATCTTTAATAAAAAGAGAGATTTCTGTTGATTTTTGATTATCTCCAGGATTATGCTATGGTGATGCAGTCGTGGTTAAATCTTGAAAGTATGATAATAAAAATAATTTTAATCAGTAATTTAATTGAATTAAAGGAATATATAATAGAACATAAATTGATAAAAGTAATGCCTGGCTTAAGGCGAGTAGAATAAGGAAAACAAAATATTATTTACATAATGTACAAAGTTTTGAGCCGGCCATCGGGAAAAAACAACAACGAGTTTTTATATGCAAAGCGTGACCTCTGGCGGTCGATTTAACAGAATATTTGAATCTTGATATATAATTTAAAATAAAATAATAATTTTATATAACATATATACAAGGTATGTCCCATAAGTTCCCGGACTGGGTCCATAAAAATAAAATGTAAGATTAAAAAAAAAAAATTATTAAAACTTTTCAAAGTAATCCCCCCTTGCTTCAACGCACCAGCGCCATCGTTTCTCCCAATTGTCGAAACAGTTTTTATAAGCCTCTTTTGGAATGCTCTTCAATGCTAACGGCGATTTTTCTATTATGTCATCCCTGGTGTCAAAATATCTTCCTTTTAGAACTGCTTTAAGTTTGGGGAACAGGAAAAAGTCATTTGGTGCGATGTCTGGGAAATAGGGTGGTTGAAGTAGGATTTGTGTCCCGTTTTTCGCCAAAAAGCTAGTCATCAAGTGCGCTGTGTGAGGGCGAGCATTGTCATGGTGTAGGATCCAGCCACCATTAGTCCATTTTTCTGGCCTTTTTTTTCGAATCGTTTCCCTTAGACGGCGAAGAATGCCCAAATACATTTCCTTAATAACTGTTTGGCCTGCAGGAAGATACTCGTGATGAACAATGCCCTTGTTATCCGAAAAAGCGACCAGCAACACCTTGTTTCTGGATTTTTTGGGTCTAGGCTCACCCTAACCTCTCCACTCGGCAGATTGAGGTTTGGTTTCAGGGTCATAGCCATAGACCCATGTCTCGTCGCCTGTGATTATCTTGTCTTTCCATTCTGGATCCGTTATTGTCATTTCCATCATGTCCTCACAGTTTGCAAGCCGACACAGTTTTTGCTAATTGGTGAGGAATCTTGGGATGAATTTTGCAGGAGTCTTTTTGAGCTTCAAATCTTCGGTTACGATCCTTCCAATCGTTGTTTCAGAGATGCCTGTGTCTTGCTCTAGCTCCAGCAAAGTGGTTCGAGGATTTTTTTTATCAAATCGGTGATTTTTTGCACATTTTCATCAGTCCTTTGAAATTTTGGGCGTCCTTGACAAGGATCACCTTCAATGGAAATTCTGCCAGCTTTAAATCTAGAATGCCATTCAGAAAAAGTTGTTCTTTTTGGGGCGTCATTGGGGAATGCTTTATTAAGCATTTCAAAAGTTTCGGTTGCTGATATTTGAAGTTTCACACAAAATTCTATGCAAATCCTCTGCTTCAATTTTTGTTCCGTCGTAAAATCGCCGCAGCGCTAGGTGTAACCTATAAATAAATTAGAATGACCTTGGTGCGCGCGCACGTACCGCCTCGATATTGATACCACCGTGTAGCCAGATATTTTTTCTATAATAAACTGTCAAATTCATTTACATTTTTCATTTATTTATTTTTTTATGGACCCAGTCCGGGAACTTATGGGACATACCTTGTATATATTAAAAATAATGAAAGCATATTCTGACCAGGAGCACATATTCTTTTTAGATGGCAGAGCGCTATCTAGTGGAACAGAAATCAACTAAACATTGATTTAACCTGTTCCCCAAAATTTGGCCGACCCAATTTCTTGATAAATCAAGAAAAGTCATCCACGAACGCGTTTCGCGATGTTGGCGCTCGTTAGCATTGAGCAGGCTGTGGGGTTGTCAAAATATAAGGGAACAGGGTAAATCAATGTTTAGTTGATTTCTGTTCCACTAAATGGCGCTCTGCCATCTAAAAAGCACGTGTACTCCTGGTCAGGATATTCTTTCATTATTTTTAATATCAACACCTGACCCTTTTTTATTTTTTCTATCATTTTTGCGGGATAATTTTAAAATGTCGTTTTACAATCACAAGCCGCATTCTATTATATTGTATTATTAATTACTTTATGTATTAGTTACGAACGGAAAAATATGTCCAGGGTAGCCTAGTAGACATGGCATCTGCCCGGTAAGCGGAACTCTGTGGGTTCGATTCCCATCCCTGCGACACTTTTATTTTTCCGTTTATCATTATTCTTCACAATTCATCCTTTGATACCTCATCCCTAAGGTTAGAAATAATCGTTATTTCTCCTTGAAATAAATTTTGATTTTTCGTTGAAAAGAAACACTTGCGGGATAATTTTGAAATGTCGTTTTACAATCACAAGCCGTATTATATTATATTGTATTATAAATTACTTTATGTATTATTTACGAACGGAAAAATATCTCCAGGGTGGCCTAGTGGACATGGCATCTGCCTGGAACACTGTGGGTTCGATTCCCATCTCTGAACACTTTTATTTTTCCGTTTATCATTACTCTTGATTAAAACATGGTTTATAATCAATATCTATTAACTTTGTGTTAGAATTTTGATTTGCTATTAAGTCATTTTCTATGTTAGTGCTATAGTGAAGTAAAAAATCTGCTTCTGGGTAAAATAATTTAAGCTTATTAGAGTGTATAATTTCTGTTTGTTTTCTTTGGGGTAAATTGGGTTTATTAATTTCATATGTGACTGGAGAAAGTTGTTTTAAAATTGTAAATAGGCCTATATACCTTTGAGTTAAAATACCAGTGTTTGGATAAATAAAGGTTTTAACTAATACCCGATCTCCTTCTTTAAAAATGGGTTCTGGGTGTTTAATATCATAAAGTTATTTGCTGTGTTCATGGGATTTTATGGTTCTTTCAATGGCTAATTGTCTTGCCTTTTCTATTGGTGTATGTGTTTCTGTGTCATGTTCTATATACTGTGGTTGTATTCCATTGTATAAGAATTTAGGTGTAAAGCCTGTTGTGGTATGTACTGTTTCATTATAGCTTTTAGCAATTTTAGGAATATATTTTGTCCAAGGAATCTTTAAATTATGATTATATTCACACACACATCTTAACCTATTAATGATAGTGGAATTTAGTCTTTCTACTTTTGCATTTGTTTCTGGATGATGGGCACTGGTGAGTAGATGATTAACATTATTTCTCTCCAAAAAATGTTTAAATTTAATGCTGAGAAAAGCTTCATTTCTGTCAGTTATTAATATTTCAGGCTTATTAATTTGGAATAAATTTCTCAAACAAGTTATATATGAATCAGTTGATACAAATTTTGTTGGAAAAGACCAAAGGAATCTACTATGATGATCTACTATCATATGGATACTGTGTCTAGTTGTCCCATAATTATGTAACCCGCCCAATGTATCTAGAGAAAAAATGTGATTTGGGTGTGTAGCTATTGGCATCTGTTGTAGTGGTCCATAAACAATTCTGTTATCCCTAGACTTGTTAAACTGGCAAGTTTCACAATGTTTGGTGTAATTAGCAATATCCCTAGTCATATGTGCCCAATAATAGTGTGGAGAAATTATTTTAGTCATTTGAGTTGTTCCAATATGTCCATGCTTTGTATGTACTTTGTTTAATAATTTGTGTCTTAGTGTCTGTGGTACATAAGCTCTTTTAAAACCCTTTTTAGTAATAATGTAAAGGCCATTTTGAATTATAATTTAGCACTACTAATTTGTTCAGTTGATTGGTGTTCTTTGAACTCATTATATGATAGGTAAAATGAGACGGGTGCTCTTGACAGCATGTCTGCTTCTATATTAGTTAATCCTTTAATATGTTTAATGTCAAAGTTATATTGAGATAGGATTAAGGACCATCTAAATCACCTACTTTGTGATCTGTGTGCAATGTAAAATGTATGTTGTGTAAATATGCATGAAATCTTTGTACTGAATTAATGATAGCTAATGTTTCAATTTCTGAGGCAGTATAATTCTGTTCATATGGGTGAAGTTTTCTTGAAAAATAACCTATGGGGTGTAAAATGCCTTGTTCATCTGGTTGTTTAAGAACTCCTGCTACTTCTAGATTTTACGCGTCTGTGAATAAATGGCATGGTTTTGATGAGTCATAAATATATAGTACAGGTTGTGATATGAGTGAATTTTTTAGTGTTTGGAAGGCTTGTTCATGTTTCGCACTCCATAACAAAGGAGCATTTTTTAACAAAAGTTCATTCAATGGTGCCCTAATTTGTGCATAATGGGGAATATATTTATTATATATATATTAATTGTACCTAACAACCTTTGTAAGGTTTTAATATTGTATGGTCTATTTAATTTTAAAATTGCTTCAATATTTGTGTTATTGGGTGTATATTTTCCTGAGTTAATAGTATATCCTAAGAATTGTATTTCTTTTTGTAAGAATTTGCATTTATTGAGATTGAGCTTTATATCCTCTTGTTGGAATATACCTAATATGTCATCTAATGTTTAATGTGTTCTTCATAAGTTTTGGAGTGTATAATAATGTCATCAAAATAATTTAAGGCATAGTGTATGTTATGTTTAGTGAAAACTGACTTCATAATCCTTTCAAATTGTGAAGGCGCATTTTTTAAACCATATGGAGGCCTATTCCATTCATAATATCCTAATTGTGTTACAAAGGAGGATTTATGTCTATCTTTTTCATCAATGGGTATATGCCAGTATGCATTTTTAACATCTAGAATAGCGTATATTTTTGACTGTGATAACCTATCTATAATTTGTTCTATAAGTGGAATTGGGGTATGTTCTGGAACTGTTTTTTGATTAAGTTTTCTATAATCTATGCAGAGTCTTGTGGGGTGATTTGGGGCATCAGATATTTTATTCACTAATAATGCAGGAGAACTATAGGGACTAGATGAGGGTCTAATAATATCATATTTTAACAATTCAGTTATTTGTCTTTGTATTTCACCATTATTGGAAAAATATGTCCTATATGGCTTTTGTGCTATGGGAATATTATCTAAAAGGGATATGCAAATTGGGTTAGTTTTTATGTATCCTATATCAAAATTGTGTTTAGAGAAAACATTCTTATATTTATGCAATATATCTGAAATTGTTTGATTAGAGAAATTTGGATTAATATCTACTTTACTGATGTCTAAATATGAATTATAATTTGTTATAGGGCATGGTCTTCGCATACTGTGAAATGAGTTAGAATCCATAAAAGGGATTTGAGAGAGAGAGAAGTAGGGTCTATAAGTTTAACATTTGTAGTTGGTATATCAAAAGAATTGAAATTACACAATGGGTTGATATTTGAAAGAGATGAATTTTTAACATAGTATGGGTCTGGAATACATAGGGTAGTGGCATATGACTTCTGATTATCAGTTTTGGATTAAAAGAATACAAGGATTTATAATTTTGGAAAAGAAGGTTTTTTGAGGAATCTATTTGTAACTCAAATATATAAAATGTTGGTAAACCTAAAATAAGATATTCTATTGGACTATCACAAGCAAACATTTCTTGATACCTTGTAAGTTTTCCTAAGGTAAGCCTAACCAATATTTTGCATAATGGGTAACTAAATCCTTCTACCTGACTTATTCTTTCTTTTGGGGAATTGTCTAATATTTTATAATAAATAAAGTTTAAATATTTTAAAGGGATAATGGAAATAGATGATGCAGTGTCAAGTACACAAGGTAAAGATATATGGTTTATAAATACAGAGAATAGTAATAATGTTCTACCTGGGTTGATGCGCTTTGGATGAGTATTGTTCTTAAGTGGGCAGTCTATATGGAAATGGATCTGGTTGGGTAGCTGGTGTGATGCACATATCTTGCAGGGGTATGGAGGCTGGTTTATTGATTTGTGGGGTTCTTGCTGGTGGTGAGTTGCTGCTGCTGTCTTGGGAAAAGGCTGGTATTGATGAGCTTGGGAGGAGTTGGAGTTGAATCTTTTTACTGGAGTAAATGGTCTATTGCTTGTAGAGGGTTGTTGGGGTTCTTCTTCTTCATTTGTTGATAATTTTAATTGGGTTGTAATTTCAAACCATTCTGAGGGTTCTTGTATCTTTGCAGCTATTAAGTATTTTTTAAGGTGGTTTGGCATTCCATCTGTTAGTGCTTCTAATAAAAGTGTTTTTTATAGATTGAGTTTTTTGGCTGAAGCAGAATTTTCCTTAAAATATTGTTCAAGATCATCTTTATCATTATATTTTAAATTTAGAAACCTACTGAATAAATTTGAATCTTTAATTGTGAAATATGATGTTAATTTTTGTTTTAAACCACCCCAATTATTTTTATCTTGTAATTCTTCTATGTAATAACTGAATGCTTCTCCCTCGAGATAATTTGATATATTATTTAGTTTAAAATCTTCATCAAGAAGTTTCTGCAGACATTTTTTGTTAAAGAATTTGAGCCAAGATATTATGTCTAAATTTTGACCATTGAATTTTGGAATTTCTATAGTACTTGGATTAGGCGTCATGGCAAGTTCTACATTCCTTTCTTTGCGCGACATTTTGTAAAAATAGTTTTATACAATTTGAATAATAATTTATAGAGCAATTGGGTTGAAATTAAGGTAATCCTGTCGACTTATTTTTATGAATATTTTGTTGTTGTTGTTAGATAAAGGGTTGATAAGACAAAGGATTGATAAGATAAAGGGTTGAGGTGCAGTCGTGATAATTGTGTAATATCATTTTTAAAAAATATTTTCCCATTTTCACTTATATTTTATTTCGAATTTCGCAATTTTACATTTAATTTTTATTTTTTATTTTTATTTTAACCAACCTTTCAAACATTTTTTACGCTTTGTGTTTTCAGTAAAAATTTTAGTTTAACATTTATTTTATATATATTTTGTTAGTTTTATTTATTTTTATACGAAAAATCTTTTTACACATAGTACAAATAATTTTAAAATATAAAATAGGCGTTATTGTTAATTTTCTAAATATTCACACCCATATTTTACAAAAATTATTTTGTCCATAATATAAATATATATATAAATAAAGAAGGCATCTCCTGACCACGAGCACATGTGCTTTTTAGATGGCAGAGTGCTATCTAGTGGAGCAAGAATAAACTAAACGTTTATTTAGCTTGCTCCGTGATATTTGGCCAACCCAATTTCTTGACAAATCAAGAAAAGTCATCCACGAACGCGTTTCGCGCTGTTGGCGCTCGTCAGCGTGGAGTAGACTGTAACCACTGCGACCAAAAAGATTTTTGGTCCCAATGGCTTCTTGAGAAATCAAGAAATGGGTATTTAAGGCCAAATTTGCGTAAAGACGCTTAACACATGAAAAAACAATAGAAAAAATAAAAGATAAGTGGGTCAGGTGTTGATATTAAAAATAAAGAAGGCATCTCATGACCACGAGCACATGTGATTTTAGATGGCAGAGCGCCATCTAGTGGAGCAAGAATAAACTAAACGTTTATTTAGCTTGCTCCGTGAT